ATCGAAGAAGCAGCTACAAGAGGAAGGATTTAGGAAAGGAAATGGCAGTTTTCATACAAAAGGAGATAAAAACACAGTTGCTTAGACCTCTTTCTCTGTGATGCATTGTGCCGGGAATGAATTCCAACCAGGCACGTGGAACGAGGGGGGAGCCTCTCCTCGTATCATTTAGGGCTCCATTTTGATCTAAAGCAGTGATTCTCAACCTTTTTAATGCCGCGACCCGCAACCAGTCGTAAGTCGAGGACTACTCAACCAGTCGTAAGTCGAGGACTACTCAACTGGTGCAGCACCGTTTGCAGAATGGGACTTTTGGCAGGCTCAGCAGGGCAGAGACAGCCTGGACAATTCCTATTGGCTTTTGAAAGCCAATAGAATTAGACTCTATTCAAGAGAGTCTATTCCAGTGGTTCTCAACCTGTGGGTCGGGACCCTATTTGGGGTCGAACGACCATTTCACGGGGGTCACCGAACAACGCAGTCCGCCATTCCCCCCCCCCTTTTCCTTAGCTGTGCTACTCCCTTTTATTCTATTGGCTTTTGAAAGCCAATAGAATAGACTCTCTTGAATAGAGTTTAATTCTATTGGCTTTCAAAAGCCAATAGGAATTGTCCAGGCTGTCTCTGCCCTGCTGAACCCGCCAAAAGTCCCATTCTGCAAACAGTGTTGCACCAGTTGAGTAGTCCTCGACTTACGACCGGTTGAGTAGTCCTCGACTTACGACTGGTTGGGGGTCCTGGCATTAAAAAGGTTGAGAACCACTGGTCTATTCTATTGGCTTTCGAAAGCCAATAGAATAAGAGGGAGTAGCAGAGCTAAGGAAAAGGGGAAAAAAATGGCGGACTGCATTGTTTGGGACCCCCATGAAATGGTCGTTCGACCCCAAATGGGGTCCCGACCCACAAGTTGAGAACCACTGGTCTAAAAGTCTCTCCAAGTTGGTTATGTTCTTCCTTCAACGGGCATGTTTTGTGCACTTGTGAATGCTTCCAAAGTGAATCTAAATCTAATCTAAAACCAGGTAGTACGTTGTGTGAGAAAAGGAGCGTTTCCTCTCATGGAAAACTCACCTTTGGGGGTATTGGAAATCTAGAAGGAGACTTTTTGGGACTTCTGCTAAGGAACATATCCTTTGACTTTCAGGGCTCAGTAACCTTTGAGGAGGTGGCTGTGTATTTTACAGAGGAAGAGTGGGCACTGCTGGATCCCAGCCAGAGAGCCTTACACGGAGAAGTCATGCTGGAGAATGCTAGGAATGTGGCCGCTCTGGGTAAGGATCTGTTTTGCTCTGGATTCAGCTAATTGTGGAAAGTCTCTTGTTGTCGTAAGTGCTCAGAGAGCACCAGGACCCCTCATTTCAACCCTGAGCTACAAATATTCTCCTCCATTGGAAGCATCTTCAAGTAAGGAGAAGGACATTCTAGGACAGGGCTTTTCAACCAGTGGTACGGGTACCACCTGTGGTACATTGGCACCTGGCAGGTAATACGTGACCATCCTAGAAAAGTGGTAGCGGGAGAGGGGAATGAGCCGAACCAGAGGCAGCACTGCACAAGCCTTGAGCGAGAGATGGCTGGAGCTGCAGAGCTGTCAGGGCTCAGTGGAAGCGCCAGGATCAGCGCCAGGCTCCAGCTGAAGCTTGGCGCTGATCCTGGTGCTTCTGCTAAGCCCTGAAGAAGCACCAATCAGCTGGAAAGCAGCACTGATCCTAGTGCTTCTGCTGAGCCCAGAAGCGCCGATCAGCTGGAATGTTGCAGCATCTCCAGGGTCTTGTGATTTACATTCAGATGCTTGGCAACTGATTCATATTTATGACGGTCACAGTGTCCCAGGGTCATGTGAAGTGACCAAAACCTGCTGCAACCACCCAGCAGACGGGGGGGAATAAAAACCAAACACCTCCCCACCCCACCCCCGCTGCCAATCCTCAACAGAAATGCTCATAACAATGAAAACCTCGGACAGGAGGAAGAGCGCTGCCGGGCGGGCAGGCAGGTGTCTTGCTCCGTTGTGCCTTGGGGGGCACTTTTTTCAATGCCACTGTAACTTCAACGAGTCACTAAGCGACTCTTTGTAAGTCGAGGACTACCTGTACTTTATCACTTTTTTCCTTTGGGGGGGGGGTCGTCAAGTTTTTGACACTTGCTAGGCGACTGGTGGTACTCGGATGTTGCCATATCCTAAAAGTGGTACAATGGGTGAAAAGGTTGAAAAGCCCTGTTCTAGGACATTTCTAAGACCAAAATAAACATATGGAGAAGTTGATACTGTAGATGCTGCATAGGATCTCTTTTCATCTAAGTGTTTAAGGATATTCTTTAAGTGAAGATGTCTGGTTTGATTCGAGGGCAGATAATCTAAACAGCTTCAGGGCAGGGAGAAACTGCCCTGAATATCTCTGACATCTGTTCCTTACAAGCACCCAATTCCTAGGTTGCTTAAAATCTGGCATGTTTAGCCAAAGGGCCCTGGTTTGACTCTGAGTAAATCATTTGTAAACTCCATGTAAAGCTGAGAACAGGTTACATTGTTTTCCCTCAGTGCTTTAGCCCAAGGTAGGTCTGGAGCAGGGGTCTTCAAACTTGGCCCTTTTATGACTAGTGGACTTCAACTCCCAGAATTCCTCAGCCAGGAACACTGGCTAAGGAATTCTGGGAGTTGAAGTCCACAAGTCATAAAAGGGCCATTTTTGAAGACCCCTCGTCTGGAGGCTACTGTTAAAGAAAATGCTATCTGGAATCCTGAATTAAGGTTCACTTAATTCAGTTAGTACATTAAAAAGTCATGCAGCCATTGCCCAAGCAAAGCAAATTCATATGTTAAACATTTTTCAATTGATATCATACACATCTGCAGTTTAGCTTCTCAGAATTCTTACTGTGTTTGATCGGTATATATTCTTTGTTTCAGTTCCTTTCTTTGGACATATCACTATCGTTCTTCTACCAATCTTGAAAATTCTTCTGCCCTAATGCTCTCCTTTCAGTTTCATTCTCCCAAATTTCATTTGTTCTTAATTAAATTCCCACTGCTGAAGCTAACTGCTGCCATTTATAATTGGCTGAAATTCTACAAAGGGCCAAGAACAGCCTAGTAAAGTAATTTTGCCAAAAGGCAGAGGAATTAAAGTTGTACCGATGGTCCAAAAATAGATAGACTAATAACTTTATTGTCACTTTGAATGTATGCTAATTGGCGTACATTAAAATTAAATTTCGTCGCATACAGCTCTCAAAGGATCATCACCTCAGATATACACTACATAAATATGACAAAAATAAATAAATACAGACTTATGCATATGCCCACATATATGACACAGAGAAACAACACAGTCTAGTTTGGGGTATGTATACATGTGCACGGTGAGAAAAACGAATCTTGCAAGTTTATCAGATGGATGCCATGGGGAACAAAGCTATTACAGAATCGTGTAGTCCTGCTAGAAAGGATTAATCAATTTGAAGCGAGCGGAAATCGCCCCAATATATTTTGTTTCCAAATCACATTTCTGATTCTAATTTTAGATTGTTACATTGATCATAAATGAAAAAAGAATCACTAACCACAAGGAGGGACACTATGAAGGCAATAGGTGAATATATCAAAGCAAATGAGAAGGATTTAATGCATGAAATTCTCAAATGAATTGAAAGCTAAAATATAAAGAATATAGGTAAACGAATAGAAAAGGGAAAAAAGGATTAATATTTTAAAGATTGAGAAGATATCAACCCCGCTTCCATTTTTAAAGCAATAATATGAATTAGACAATAGGAACTCAAAACAGCATAACTGTCTTACCATAACCAACATATTGAACTGGATCCAGAGACAAAAGGATAAGCAATGCAGCTCACACAACAGTGGTGTCATATGTGCCACTTTAGGGACCCGAGAACTGTGCACGTATCTGTATTCTCCACCAGCTGTATCTTCTGAATAACCTTCAAAGGTAGCCGAATGTAGTACGCATTGCAATAATCCAACCAAGAGATGTCTAGTGCATGAGTGATTGTGTGCAGGGCTTCATAATCCATAGTAAACATGCGACTAGAACACAACAAGAAGTTGCGTGAAGGCCCTCCTAGTCACAACTGCCATCTGTTCTTTGAGCAGAAGTTGTGAGGCCAGGAGAACTCCCAGGGTACACGCCAGGTCTGTCTGCGGGAGTGCAAATCTATCCAGAAGTAAAGACAATAAATAACTGGATCCTGAGATCCCTAGCACCTATAAGCCCCTCCATCTTGCCAGGGATCTACTGAAGCCTGTTGTCCCTCATCCAGACTCTTAATGGTTTTCTTATTTTTTTTTTTTTCATTTTGTTCTCAATTCCCCCTTGCTGTTGATGATTCAGTCTTTCGCACCAAAGAGCAGAGAATTTTTCCACAAGGATAATGAACAAAAATTCCTCATGAAATTAAAAGTGGGGAAGAGTCCAAAAGGACATAATGTCTCGGCCAGAACTGTCAGTAAAATGAAAGTCTGGTTTCTTTTAGGCATTATGAAACCAGCGGAATCTTGGATAAGCAGAAATAGAAGTCATTCTTGTTTAGCTGACTGGTTGCTTAGTGACCATTTGAGGTTATAATGGACCTCCAAAGAGCTAATTGTGACCTGTTTTTGAAGTTCCAATGGCCGCCCACACCCAAGACACAGTCACTTGATTGTATGTACAGCCATTTGCAGCATCCCACAGTCACATGACTATAACATATTGTATTTTTTGCTGGTTTCAGAGGTTTACTTCTGATTCTTGGTCATAAATGCCCGTAGGAGCAAACAGATTTGCTTAACGATTATTTAAACAAAAGCTGCAAAACACATCGTAATATCAGGCACATTCACACAGTGATCCGCTTAATGACCACTCCAAGCTATGATATTAATTCCAGGCTCAATTACAGTCATAAGTCAAGGATTACCTGTGAGAGGTGCACTATTTTTCTGTCATGTACTTAAATGATTTAACTTCTATTTTTCATTTTCTTCAAATCAGCTTACGGGCTGGAGCATGAGAACTACAAGGAGCAAATGATCAAGTCTGAAGAAGAGACACTGGTTAATCCAGAACCACCACAAGGGATTAAGAAAAGCCGTAAAGTGAGTGGAGGGAAGGAATCTCCCGGATACAATGAAGTCCTTTATCTCCCAATCCAGGAAGTTCACCCTCAAGAAGAAGAGGGGAAATATCTCATATGTGGCACAGGAGACAGATATTTCACTAAATATTCTGCAACCGAGACTGAAGAGAAACAATATGAATATCAAGAGAATGGACAAAGTATCAGTTCTGTCTCCTGCCTGGCTTTACATTGCCCATCGTACGCCCAAGAGACATCCTGTGCATTTATAAATTGTGGGGAAGATTTCAGTTTCAGCAGGCATATAATTTCCCATCCAGAGGAGAAACCATCTGAGCGTCGAATGGATTTCAGTAAGAAACAGCTACTTATTTTACGTCAAAAAAATCCCCCAAAGGAGAAACCCTATAAATGCCTTCGGTGTGGAAAGACGTTCGCGCAGAGAGGTAACCTTACCATACACGAAAGGATCCACACGGGGGAGAAACCCTATAAATGTCTGGAGTGTGGGAAGACTTTCGCTGAGAGAACTAACCTTGTCACCCATAAAAGGATCCATACCGGGGAGAAGCCATATATATGCCTGCTGTGTGGAAGACGATTCAATCAGAGCGGTCACCTTACGAGACATCACCGAACCCACACGGGGGAGAAACCGTATACGTGCTTGCAGTGTGGGAAGAAGTTCAGTGGGCGTTCCACTCTTGTGAAGCACGAAAGAAGCCACGCAGAAGAAAAACCGTATCTATGTACGGAGTGTGGAAAGAGCTTCCATGACCTCGGTGTCCTGGATTACCACAAAAAGATCCACACGGGAGAGAAGCCGTTTCAATGCGCGGAGTGTGGAAAGAGCTTCAGGCGAAACAGTCACCTCGTGAAACATAGAAGAATTCACACAGGGGAGAAACCGTACCAGTGTTCGGAGTGTGGGAAAAACTTCCATCTGAAAAGCAGCCTTTTGCAACATAAAACCATCCACACGGGGGAAAGGCCCTACCGGTGCTCCGAATGTGGGAAAGGCTTCAGTCAGAACAGCACTCTTTTCCAACACAAAGCCATTCACACGGGCGAGAAACCTTATAAGTGCTTGGAGTGTGGGAAAAGCTTCAGTCAGAACTATAAACTCTTGCAACATACCAGGATTCACACGGGGGAGAAACCATACAAGTGCAAGGAATGTGGGAAGAGTTTCAGCTGTAGCAGTGATTTCAGTTGCCATAAAAAGATTCACACGGGGGAGAAACCCTATAAATGTTCGGAGTGCGGAAAGGGTTTTCATAAAAGAAGTTGTCTTACATCTCACAAAAGGAAGCACACCGGAGAGAAGCCTTATCAATGCACAGAGTGCGGGAAGAGATTTTCTTATAACTTTGTCCTCCGATATCACCAACAAACCCACACTGGGGAGAAGCCATATAAATGCTTGAAGTGTGGAAAGGCGTTCAGTAGATGTTCAAATCTTAAAATCCATATACGAATACACACGGGGGAAAAACCATATACCTGCCCGGAGTGTGGAAAGAGCTTCCGTAAGGACAGCGACTTTATTCGTCATAAAAGGATCCACACGGGAGAAAAACCCTACAAATGTTTGGACTGCGGGAAGGGCTTCACTCAGAACGCGAACCTTATCAAACACAAAAGGATTCACACGGGAGAGAAGCCGTACAAATGCGCGGCGTGTGAAAAAAGCTTCAGCCAGAAAAACCACCTTTCTCAACACGAGCAGACCCACAAAAAAGAAAAATCATAACTTGAGTGCTTTATCTTAAAAGGTTTTCTTCTCAAAGAAAGGGACTTTTGCGGGAAAACAGTAGAAATATGTAATCTGTGGAATAATGTTCAGTTGGAAGAGTACCTAATCAGGCCTAAAGGATGGAAGAATCATACAAATGCTAGAATAGAACTTGCAAAGAAAAATGTGTTAAATCAGGGGTCTGCAACTTTGGCAACTTAAAGACTTGTGGACTTCAACTCCCAGAGTTCCCCAGCCAGCACATACTGGCTGGGGAATTCTGGGAGTTGAAGTCCACAAGTCTTAAAAGTTGCCCAGGTTAGAGGCCTCTGGATTAAATGGAATATTTGAAAGAGATTGAAAGGGCCCCAGATAGGAATGCTGTCAAAATAACATGGAATCGCATTGATGGTCTCGGGAATGTTCAGACTGAATGATCTAAAGTTGGTAAGGGATATGCAGAAAAGGGGCTAATGAAAGAAAATGATCTATTGGAATATTGCTCTGTGAATTTGGCCCAAAGTAGGAAAAATCAGAAATGCTTTTTAGCCTATAATTCCGTGGTGGTGAGCCTATGGCATGCGTGCCACAGGTGGCACGCAGAGCCCTTTCTATGGGCATGTACGCCATCGCCCCAGTCCTAGGCCTTCAGCTGGGTTTTATAAAACCTTTTTGCTTTAGGCCTCCACCGCCGTGTGCAAAAAAAAAAAAAAGGTTCAATCAATCAATCTATTTCAACTTCTGGCGGGAAAAAAGAGATCTTGCAAAGTTGGGATTGATTGATTGAACTTTTTAGTCTTACACCAGTGTGGCAAACCTATGGCACGGGTGCCAGAGGCGGCACTCAGAGCCGTCTCTGTGGGCACGCGCACCGTCGCCCCAGTCCTAAGCCTTCAGCTGGGTTTTATGAAACCTTTTTGCTTTAGGCCTCTGCCGCCGTGTACAAAAAAAAAAGGTTCAATCAATCAGTCAATTTCAAGTTCTCGTGGGGAAAAAAAAGATCTTGCAAAGTTGGAATTGATTGATTGAACTTTTTAGTCCCACCCAGTCTGCTGTTACCACGTAGCCATGTCCACCCAACGGACCACACCCACCCAATGGGCCACACCCACCCGGCACCCGACGATGCATAAGTGGGTTTTGGGTTGCAGTTTGGGCACTTGGTCTCTAAAAGGTTCGCCATCACTGTCCTACACAGTCTGCCATTACCACCGAAGCCATGCCCACCCAACGGGCCACACCCACTCAATGGGCCACGCCCACCAAATGTGCCACATCCACCCAGCACCCGATGATACATAAGTGGGTTTTGGGTTGCAGTTTGGGCACTCGGTCTCTAAAAGGTTCGCCATTACTGCTATAGTTGTATCGAGCAGTTCCTGGTTTGCAGGATCCTTGGCGCTCTCTGAGCTTTCTTGCAGATGTTTCATTGCCAAACTGCCCTGATCATGCTACCTAATTTGGTAATGAAACGTCTGCAAGAGAATAACCAAGTTCAGAGAGCACTAAGGACCCCCTCATTTCAACCCTGAGCTACTATTACTTCTATTACTTCCTGATGCTGATTTCTTTTGCCCCTGAATTTTTGATATGTAACTCCTCAAGACCTGGATGTTTTGTTTCGTTTATTTCTCCATTACAATTGTATCTTCAAACAAAAAAAAAAAAAGGAAAATAATGTTCATACAAATAAAGGTATTAAAAATATGACAGTGAAAAAGAGGAACAAATCTCAATATAAATGGTGAAATACAGACAGATAATAGAAGCCTTCAATTACCAGCAGATTCTGGATCAGAAAAGCCAATATAGTTCTAGGCTGCATTAACAGAAGGATAGAATCAAGATCACGTGAAGGGTTAATACCACTTTATAACACCTTGGTAAAGCCACACTTGGAATACTGCAATCAGTTTTGGTCACCACGATATAAAAAAGATGTTGAGACTCTAGAACAGTGTTTCTCAACCTTGACAATTTTAAGGCATGTGGACTTCAACTCCCAGAATTCCACAGCCAGCATTGCTGGCTGTGGAATTCTGGGGAGTTGCAGTCCACATGCCTTAAAATTGTCAAAGTTGAGAAACACTGCTCTAGAAAGAGTACAGAGAAGAGCAACAAAGATGAGCAGGGGACTGGAGGTTAAAGCATATAAGGAACGGTTGCTGGAATTGGGTATGTCTAGTTTAATGAAGAGAAGGACGAAGGGGGACATGATAGAAGTCTTCCAATATCTCAGGGGCTGCCACAAAGAACAGGGAGTCAAGCTATTCTCCAAAGCGCCTGAAGCCAAGATAAGAAGCAACGGGTGGAAACTAATCAAGGGGAGAAGCAACCTAGCACTAAGGAGAAATTTCCTGACAGCTAGAACAATTAACCGGTGGAACAACCTGCCTCCAGAAGTTGTGGATGCTCTAACACTGCAAGTTTTTAAGAAGAGACTGGACAACCATTTGTCCGAAATGGTATAGGGTTTCCTGCCTGAGCAGGGGGTTGTACTTGATGACCTCCAAGGTCCCTTCCAACTACATTATTATTAAATGTCTAATACATTCTACACATTATTAATACGTTACAGCAACACTATAGAAATGTCATGTCCAATTTCTAGTTAAGATGTCTCTGTTAAAATATTGTGGATTAGTACAGTGTGCAAGTCACAGAAAAAGCTTATTTATGGGGCTGTGGCATCATATTACCCTGACTGCTCTGAGAGCTTTAGGGAAGGTGGGGGGTTGATACCCTGCAGGTAGCCCTGAGGTACAGTGGGGGGGCAGAAGAGGCTCCGAGCATCCCCATCAGACTGAGGTTTTAAAGCCAGCCTTTGATTCTTTGATGGCCAAACAGTACTTTTTTGTGGCTTCTACTGGTCCTCCCTCCAAGATGCTAAATTAACCTTGATATAATCACTGTTGCTTTGTGCAGAAGAGAGCTGAGTGCAAGAGAATAACCCTGTCCCATGTCTATGGAGATTCCCAGTCATCCAGGTGATGGTTGTTCCAAAGGTGCTTTTTCACGAGGGGTCAAAGAGGCCATCTATGTCAAAACTAAAAAAGCCCTCTCTCAACAGAGGGGGAGGGATACGACATCATCTATCTCCAATCTACAATACGGTTCTTTCAGCAGTTCCAAGAAGGCTCCACGCCCATTTGCACCACCACTTGAGGACACAGAGAAATTTCCAAGTGGACTCAATGACTCTTTTAAAAAGAATGCAAATGACCAGTTGTCTTCAAGGAGTATGAATAATAATAATAGTAATTATTATTATTATTATTATTATGGATCATCGCACAGTCAGCTAGATGTTCAGACTGGATTTGGCATTTTGTCTACCTATCGAGTCCTTACCCAGGACCTGGGATAGGCAGATGTGGATGTTTGATGGTATTACAGGTATCGTTTCAGGATGGAAGCAGTTCCTAGTAAGGCCGCCTTTTGCAGTTGACTAGGAGCGAATTTGTCAATGCCCATGGTGTTCAAGTGGCGCTCCAGTTGTTTTGGGATTGCACCCAAGGAGCCTATTACTATTGGTACTACCCTTGCTTGCTTTTGCCACAGTCTTTCTATTTCTATTTGTAGGTCTTTGTATTTTGTTATCTTCTCCAGTTCTTTCTCGTCTCCAGGCACTACCACGTCCCACTATCCAGACTTTTTTGTCTTTCTTATCGACAATTATTAAGTCTGGGGTGTTATGTTGCAGGTGCTTGTCTGTTTGAATTCTAAATTATTATTATTATTAATAATAATAATAATAATAATAATAATAATGATGTTAGAAGGGTCATCTAGTCCAACCCCCTGCTCAGGTAGGAAACCCTATACCATTTCGGACAAATGGCTGTCCAGTCTCTTCTTAAAAACTTCCAGTGTTGGAGCATTCACCGCTTCTGGAGGTAGGTTGTTCCACTGGTTAATTGTTCTAACTGTCAGGAAGTTTCTCCTTAGTTCTAAGTTGCTTCTCTCCTGGATCAGTTTCCACCCGTTGCTTCTTGTCCTGCCTTCAGGCACTTTGGAGAATAGCTTGACCCCCTCTTCTTTGTGGCAGTCCCTGAGTCCTTCTTAAGAGAGGTGAAACATCTTCAGATAAAAACCAGAAAGTTCCGTTGTCTCTTGAAAAAGCACCTTTGGGGCTGCAGTGACTAAAATGAGTAATCCAGTGGTTAAGCAAATCTGGCTTTCCCCTTTGACTTTGCTTGCCAGGTCATAAAAGGGGATCGTATAACCCCCGGGGAACACTGTAACTGTCCATAAGTATGATCCAGTTGTCAAGCATCTGAACGTAAATCCCATGACCCTGAGGATGCGGCAACGGTAGTTAAGTGTGAAAAAGGGTCATTTTTTCCATGCTGATGTAACTTCGAACGGTCACTAAATGGACTGTTGTAAGGCGAGGACTACCAGGGGTAGGCCACCTTGGCTCTTTTATGCCTTGCGGACTTCAACTCCCAGAATTCCTGAGCCAGCCATGGGAGTTGAAGTCCACGAAGCATAAAAGAGCCAAGGTGGCCTACCCCTGGCCTATACCAGGGGTAGGCAACCTCGGCTCTTTTATGACTCATGGACTTCAACTCCCAGCTATGCTGACTCAGGAATTCTGGGAGTTGAAGTCCATGAGTCATAAAAGAGCCCAGATTGCCTATACCAGGGGTAGGTAACGTTGGCTCTTTTATTACTCGTGGACTTCAACTTCCAGCTATGCTGACTCAGGAATTCTGGGAGTTGAAGTCCATGAGTCATAAAAGAGCCCAGGTTGCCTATACCAGGGGACAGGGAGAGCTTTCCAAGCTGAGCCATGCTGGCTCAGGAATTCTGGGAATTGAAGTCCACCAGTCATAAAGCGGCCTAGGCCTAGGCCAGAGGTAGGCAACCTTGGCTCTTTCATGACTCATGGACTTCAACTCCCAGAATTCCTGAGCCAGCCATGCTGAGGGGAAAGGGAGAGGTTTCCAAGCTGAGCCAGGCTGGCTCAGGAATTCTGGGAGTTGAA